TCTACACACACTCCATACACTCTGCCCAGCTGGATCAACTGCACCGGGGTCTCAGTGTACTCTTGCCAGAGAGCTGTGGGGGCCGCCCAACCTGTCCTTTGCAACCGATGACATAATCAGTTGGCAGGACGCGGGTGGCCCACACAGCTTTGTGTTTTGTTGGCAAGAGTACACATAGCAGCTGGGAGGAGGTGCGGGTGGTGCTCTCTTCCTCATACCTACAGGGTCACTCTCAGATCAGATCGGGCAGGTATGGGTAGTCATTTTGTTGCCACACCCTTGGGGACTCTTGGTGGCACCCAGTTGAAAAACACTGTGGCATAGACAAAATTTTATTTAAAAACACAAATTGTATAGTGGCGCTGTGAACCACTAATACACAAAACACCTTCTACAGTGATATTGTGAATAGTGAAACAAAACTATAACTTAACAATCATACATTGCAAATCAGTCCACTACTGTGAAATAATAAAGTCCACTAAATCATGTGGTTGTCACTTCCAGTGTTTTAATCTTCCTGTTACTTGGTATCCCAAACCAAAATCACCACGTATTTGTGAGACTGCCTTCCCTTTTAGGTATGCACTCACTAGAACCACATGCCTCCCACTCTCATGGTTGGCATGTATCGCTTGTTAGATCTCTAGTTGTAGTACCACCATGTAAATTTCATGGACTTCCTAAACCTCCTTACTCCTCTCCGTCAGGTATCATTATCATGAAAAAGAAAAAGATATACTCCAATGGTACAGTAACCAATACTCTCCGGTTTATTTAATAAGTTTCAAAAGCCACTCAAAAAGTATAAATGAAAAAACGATCTTCATATTCCAATGAAATGATATCAGATGTGGTGTTCTCTCACCACTGCCGGACCTCTCAAATTGGTACTCCTGCATCGCTTCTGGTTCCGGCTCCTATCGTCACTTCCGGTTGTTTCACAGCCTCGCCCTAACGAGTTTTGTCACTCCCGACTTAGTCATAGGGATGGCTGTACGGTGCGGCGACTCTCTCTGTGTACCCTCCTCATTGCCGCCATTGGTCAATCTTTATCATTGGGCGAAAAGCTCTCATAGCCCCCTCATTTAAACAGATATCTCACCACATACTATTGGGACCAAATCCAGTTAATATATTTTAACCCCTATTTACCCAGGAGTCAACCTTCAAAGGGAAGCTCCCATAATGGGATAAATAAATGCTAAATAAAATATATTGCTGCCCTATATTCTACTTGGTGGCAATAAGGGAACACATATAGTGATTACAATCACTAAAGACTTGGCAGTCAATCCTCTAATCATAAAACATTTCAACGTAAATTAAATACACATGGAATCAAAAACTATATATTATGACAATAATCATTATGTGATTGTTAAGTTATAGTTTTGTTTCATTATTCACAATATCACTGTAGAAGGTGTTTTGTGTATTAGTGGTTCACAGCGCCACTATACAATTTGTGTTTTTATTTTCAGTTATTTTATTCAGGGTGGCTTCAGTGTTTGATATTCACTTATCATTGTTAATTATCACAAAAGGGAAATCATTTTATTGATAGGTTATATTTAAGCACGCATTCAGCACAGGGTTTTTATTATTGAATATTTTATTTGTTTTATTGTTATTTTAGATTATTTTATGGAGAATATGCAGAAGATGTATCACATATGAATGACATTGGCATGTGGATAGATCTGCTGTCTGCCTCTTTTGTCAGTGAGTCACTCATTGTGAGTCATATTTGGGACTTTTCTTGTTTCCCTTTTTTCTTCCCCCCCCCCTTTTTCTGTCTTAGGATGGAATGTAACTGTTTGGTCTACCTGCAGGACCTAATTTTGTGGGGTACGAGGGGAGTTGGCCGTGTGTGTGGATGTTCATCCATGACCACTTTGACCGCTGTGTGGATGCTGCCACCCTATATTTCCACTCATGTTGACATGTGAGTCTATGGAGGTTTCTCGTTGTAAGGATTTTGTAATAATCACAATTGTATGACTAATGTTGTATATATGTGCATATATGTATCTTCCAACTAGGGCTTTGGACTTCTTTGCCTCCAACTCTTTCGGGGTCCTGAGGAAGCTAATAAGTGAAACGCGTCGACCTCTGGAGGACTTAGATGTCATGATACATAAATGGTGTAATTTACTGGACTGACTAGCCAAATACTGTTTTTATTGCAAATGTTTGGAAGACATGTTTCAATAAACATGTTTTATACAGTAATATGAGGTTGTCCATTTTCTGTACCAGTAAAGTCCCACTAGTTTTTTGTGACTCTTCATACGATATATTAGGGATGAGGTACGCTTGCAGTCTGGTTTATATAATGAATATTTTATTTAAAATTGGTTCTTTTGAATACCAGTTACTTTTTGTTCAAGGAACAGAAACGTCTGTTTTTTTAGAATATATTAGTTACAATATGTTTTTTTTTTTTTTATTTTCACAATGTCTCTTCCTGCTTTCTCTACTGCTGATGGTTTGTAGCTTTATTCACAGAATCTAGTTTTTAAAAATCTAACCAGTTTTTTGGCAGCTATTTGCTTATAACCATAGTCTACTACTTTGATGGTTTTTTATTCTAATCTTATCACAAACCATAATAAAAAAAACATTTTTAACTATAGACACAGCTACCTGCACAGCCTTTGTACCTAATTCAGCAATGACATTTAAAATCCCCACCTTTAAAAAACAAAAAACATAATCTATGTTGTGACCCAAGGAAATGAAATCCTTAGCAAGTTGATGGAATATGAAGGAGACTTCATCAAACCAATGCATATGTTTGTATAACCTGTAAACTCTTTTCCATCACCAAACCCCATAGTTGGAGATAATAGGAATATCAAAAACACTATACTTTAAAATAGTGTACAATCTTTATATATTAAGTGGGCCATAGAATATTTTATAGTATGTTATTGCATTAAGTAAGCCAAAATCTAATGTTTAAATAAAAAAAATAATCTTACAAAAAAATTTCAGGAGCTTTTTTATTGAAAGTGGAAAATGATTTAAGTGCATGTTTTTAACATATTCAGTTCAGTTATACAAAACTGAATGACGACGGTTTATCAGCAAAGCTAGAATTACAAAAGCGAAAGAAGCATCTACTGTATGAACCTTGTTCTTAAAAAATGCACCCAATGAAGTGTTATTTTTAGTAGAAAAGGGGGCTTCCACTTGTCTTTAGTGCCACAATAACTTCAAAAGCAGCAAGATTATATCAGTGTTGCTCATATAGGCTTGGCAGGCTGTCCTATGATGGCATTAGGGCTTATATGTATAAAGGAATTCACATTCAAGAACAAGTCAAATTCTGTATGCTTTCATGTGTTTCTGTAATGATTTATTCTGCTTAAAATTGCCTTTTAAGTTGCAGAAGAATTGGTTTCAGCCTGCTCCTGCATAACATGGAGGCTGCTTGGATTCCCATAGACTTGCATGGGGAAGAAAAGGAGCTTAGATGCGACCCAAAGCCAATATACACTATCCCTATCCATGTGTCTAAGAAGGATAAGTCATGACACCACTTTCTGTGAGTGAAATGTGCTATCGCTGTCCAAACCATCTGGTAAAAGTAAGGTGTGGAAAAGGCCTCTCCATGTTTCTCTACTGAAGGGTTTATAATAGGCTCAAGTTTGAATGAAGTTAGGAAATTTCTGAAAGTGATTGTAAACCCTCACCTTGTAAAACAACTCATTCAGTATAATATAGAAATGAAAGGCAAAACATTTGTGTATAGATATAAAACATTATATACACCTTTTTTTCCTTTTTTTTATAAGTGATTACATACATTCTGTTCTCAGCTGCATAAGAGCTGGGGGTGAAGAAACAGCAGTACACTGATCTTCCTACTGAAAAGGTGTGCAGGGAGGTTGTCGGTGCAGAAGTTCTCCTGCATAGCTGGAGAACTGAGCATGCTGTGCTCTCATGTCTAGCGTGGTCTGTTAGTAGGAAAGCAAAGGGACTGGCAGGAACACCAGGGATTTCACACAAAAAAGCAACACAAAGAGAACAGAATACTTTTCATACAACTACATAGTACAGCAGGCACATATTCTTTATCATTGTTCAAATTCTGCACCTACACAAATAACAAATAGAAAGTTCAGTGGGGTGGGAAATTGACAACTGTTAATGTGCAAAGATATATATTTATGTGATATTTTGCCCAACTGATTGCTGTTGATATATTTACGATGCTCATTCCACTTTAACCACTTCCCAACTGTGCTATAGCCAAAGGACGGCTACAGCGTGGTTGGCTAATTCTGGGAGGGCATCCTTTGGACACAGCTGATCACATGTCCCAAGTAGGGGACCAATCAGAGCCGCCTTTTACATGTGACCAGCTGTGTCCAATCACAGCTGACCACATGTAAACGGGAAATGCTGTTCTTCCTTACGCTGAGGAGAGGAGGGCCGGTAAACAGCATTTCTACACTGATTATCAGGGCAGTGATCATCAGTGCCATGATGATCAGTATAGCCTCATCAGTGCGACCAATGGTGCCCATCTGTGCTGGCTATCAGTGCCTCCTCAATTATGCCTGTCAGTGCAGCCTATCAGTGCACATCAGTGAAGGAGAAAAATCACTTATTTACAAAACTTTTTAACAGAAAACTAAGAAAAATATATTTTTTTTAATTTGTTGGTCTTTTTTTGTTTGTTTAGTAAAAACTAATTAAATACTACCAAAAGAAAGCTCTATTTGTCTCAAAAAAATGCTAAAAATGTAGTTTGGGTACAGTGTTGCATGACTGCGCAATTGTCATTCAAAGTGTGACAGAGCTGAAAGCTCAAAATGTGCCTGGGCAGGAAGTGGGTAAAAGTGCCCGGCAGGCAAGTGTTTAATGGCAATTATGATACACAATATTTATACCTTTTATTTCTTTTAAGTTTGAACTTGATTTACACATTTTAAAATCTAAGTGATACATCCTTTTTTTTCAATGTGCTTTTTTGTTTATTTAGTCATTTATGGAGAGAGGCATTCACCTAAGAACAAGATAGATTTTGTCTTGTTGTGCCGTATCAAGAACATGAAGGGGTGATCTGCCTGAAATTTAGTCGTTATGGGGAGCATTCTGACAGTTACAACGGCCCCAGTAGCTGCTGCAGCTTCAGTACCCTCTTCATTAATATGCACAAAAACTTTATGATATATTTCCGACACACAGATGTCGCCTTTTTCTGATATTCCTGTCAGATTAGCTCTTTCTGGATCAAAGAGATCACTCATTCCCATTTTGCTCAGGTATGACTTCAGGTCATAGGTGGCTTCAAGACGAATTCTTGGGAGTTCTAGCTCCACATCAGTTGAAGTCATCGTATCAGGGCTGGTCCACAGTCTCAGCTTCGTATAGCTTAGTTCTTTATGGAGCTGTTGGTGATCGGAAAATGAAAATATTGATATAGACTCTTGAAAAAATGACAATGAAAGCGAGATTCAGAACATTAAACCTTGCAGAAGTTCATTGTTTGAAACAATATCACCCTAATGTGGAACTGAGCTGAAAATGTGAATATTTGTTATTGTATAGGGAACATCTAGAAATGTTAGCAGTGCCATTCCTTGTATGTGTGGGTGTCTGTGTTTCCTGTGCCTACAACCTCATATACTGGCTGCAGTAGGAGATCTCAGGTACTGCTGCCTCTGACTTCTAATTTTAGTAGATTTGGTGATGCTACTACTGTGCTGCTCACTGTTCTTTTTGCTGCAGACTCTGACACGAGGAAGCCAAAGTCATGCCTCTGCCAAGATAGTCGTTCCGACACAAAGACACAGTGCAGAACAAGCCCTAGTAAGTCAGTAATGGAGAAAGATCTACTTCAGAGAGATGACAGGCAATAATGGTGACTATCCCCCTGCCAGCGTTTTTTGCCACAGCTTCCAGAATTCAGTTCCTTTTTAAACTCACAATGGGGTAATTTGATAAAAGCTTTGCATGTGTTATATATCATAAATGATAAAGGTGGTGTCCGCACATTATCGATGCAAATATTTATTTATTATACAGTAGGTACTTACGCAGCGCTTTACATATGTATTGTACATTCACATCAGTCCCTAACCCTCAAGATGTCCCTAACTTACATTCATACATACACATACTAGGGCCAATTTAGACAGGAGCCAATTAACCTACCAGCATGTTGTTGGAGTGTGGGAGGAAACCAGAGTACCCGGAGGAAACCCACACAGGCACAGGGGGAACATGCAAACTGCAGGAAGGTGGTGCCATGGTTGGGAATACTGCTAGGTGGAAGTGCTAACCATTTAGCTACGGCGCTGCCCTAACATGCTGGTAGGCTAATTGGCTCCTGTCTAAATTTACCCTAGTATGTGTATGTATGAATGTAAGTTAGGAACCTTAGATTGTACGCCCCTTGACCCCTGGTTCACATATATGTGGCTGTGCGGGCCGTGTTTTGCGCGGGCACGAGAGCCCATTCATTTGAATAGACTCCTGTGCCCCGTGACACACAGGGAAGAAGTCCCTGCACTTCTTCTGAAAACGCAGCCCACACAAAAACCTCGGTTCTCAGTATGGTTGCGTTTTCCAGTGTGGACAGCGTGCCATTAGAACTAATGGCACCCGCCCGCGGGTCCGTATTCCTCTGTACGGGTGGTGGGGCTGCACGGATTTTCATGTGGATCCGCAGCCGCACCACCCGCACATATATGAACCTAGGGACTGATGTGAATGTACAATATATATGTAAAGTGCTGCGTACATAAGTACCTATAATAAATAAAATATTTGCATCGATAATGTGAGGACGCCACCTTTATAATTTATCTTATATAACACATGCAGTAAAACTTTTATCAAATTACCGCATTGTGAGTTTAAAAAGGAACTGAATACCACCTGCTTTATTTCTTACCTGTGGTATATTAACATGTTTTACCAAATCAGTTTACAAAGATTATTGCACAAGCTATTTCTCTTTGAAATACCACTAACTTCTGACTTGAGATATAGTCATTGGGGAGTTCCTTGAGATGTCTTTTAAGGTTTGTGAGGTAGAGGCTGGATATCGATTCATAAGACAAAATACCAGTCAATGAGAAATAGATTCTTTTCATATTTAAATATCCCTCTCACTTTAAAAATACTGATTCTACACCTATGCAATTCCTTATGTTTGTGAACTTTTTCATGGCCAATTTTATGAGAGGTAAAACTAGGAGCTCATGCACATAGGTGAATTTGCACCTCTACAGTGTACACACTGGGTATACTTTGGCAGCTGGGGGGCACAGGTGGTGTGTACAGCCTACTGTCAGCAGCCTGTGAAAATCAATGACAGACTGAAACATGCTTTGACTTCGGCTGTGTTCAGGGTGTATTTCAGCCTGTCATTGTGTTTGACAAGCTGCTGGCTTACAGGTACAGGCATACCTCGTTTTACGAACGCCTCGGTTAACCTAATTTTCGGTTTACGAATGAAAATCCATTGAAAATGCCTCAGCTTACAAATTTTGTTTCGCAATACGAAGCAAGTTTCCCCAGGATGCATCAAGCCTGGAAGGTTTATAGCGCCGGCCCCGTACCTTTAAAGTGCACTTTATAAAGAGTTTTGAACAGATAAGACTTTTTGTTTACTTTTTTCTGACCTCCGGAAGGGATTATTTGGTTTTCAATGCATTTACAAATTAATTTTAATCATGTTCCTGTACAGTATTTATGCCTTTAAAGTGCACTTTATAAAGAGTTTTGAACAGATAAAATACTTTTTTTAAACTTTTTTCAGACCTCCGTAATGGATTAATTGGTTTTCAATGCATTCCTATAGGAAACCGCATTTTGGTTTACGAATTTTTCGCAATACGAAATTTCCAGAGAACAAATTAAATTTGTAAACCGAGGTACGTCTGTACTGAAACGTGCTTGTTTTTACTTTAATGCTGTACTGGCAAATGCACTTGTGCTCATGAAGCCTAAGGCTGAATAACTCAATTACCACCTCCACCTAAGAACTGTCACCTCCATCAGATCATCCCCCACAGCTATCACCTTTTGTATCACCTCCCTTTCTTGTAGATTGTAATATCCATGAGCAGGGCCCTTCTATTCCTTCTGTATTGAGCTGTATTGTAATTGTACTGTCTCCCTTATATTGTAAAGCGCTGTGCAAACTGTTGGCACTGTATATATATCCTGTATAATAATTTCACACCTCAGCATGCTAAATATTCTGGATACTGCCCTTAGATTCACTTACAAGTTTCATCATAATACTAGTGTACCTAAAACCCAAACCTTTTTTTATTTTGGGTAGAGTGGTAAGGTGTTATTACCTCTGTTTTTTGTTTATGCATCCCCATTAAGAACATGCACTCTCCTGGTGACCACTGAACTGTCTTAACCTCCCTAGCGGTCTGATTATGTCAGTATTTCTGTGCTCAAAGCGGTACATTTTTTTGCATGGAAATATGTATTTTTTTTTATTGTAGGCTGTAATTTTTAGGAATAACTCCCTGAAATCTGTCCGAACAAGAGTCTAGTAAACATCCCGGGTATGATAAAATTTGAAACACGATATCATAAATTCTAATTTAATAAATAATCATCAAAAAATAATAATATAATAATAAAAAAATTTAATTCAATAATATAATAAAACCAAAAACACTGAAATTTGAAATATAGCGCCAAGTTCGCACATCACTGAGCAAAGTCCCAAAATCGTTTTCAGTGTCTGATGACTATTTTCCCCACGAATCATTATCACTCAAGTCTGCAAGTGGTTCTGATTTACTATCGCTGTTCTCTAGCTGGTCTAAAACTGATTTTGACCTAAAGGGACGCTTTTTGGACGCCATGGACGTTTCTCAGTTTCCAGGCAGAAAGAACAGTAAAAAATGCAGGCAGGGCGCCGGACAAAGCACTCGGGACAAAATGTATGTGAAATGGTTTGATACAGTAATGTATTACTATGTGATTTTAGTGTATTTAGTGAATGTCACTTTTTGTCATTTTCAAATTTCCCGCCGTTCCCGACGCTCGCAGGGGACGGAACCCAGAAGACAGATGCCAGCATCTGCCGGAGAACATTGCCGGAGACACTGCAGGAGGGACATCGTGGGAGCGAAGGACAAGGTAAGAGAAGAACAGATCCTGGAGCAGCGCCGCATGGTAAGCCCGAGTGTAGCTCGGGGTTACTGCTTGTGGTACTGAAACTTTACCCCGAGCTACACTCGGGAATACCGCCAGGGAGGCTACGAACAGGAATAGAGGGTAAATCTTCCAAAATGGGTGCTTCTTCTGTTGACAGCTGTCTAACAGGGGATTTCCTCTCACTTGCTCTTCTATCTACATGACAGAAAGTAAAAGAAAATCTTTTGACTGGAACATAGATGAGAAAAAAAATGTGGAAGGGAAATATGTAAATTCAAATAGGAGCCTAATGCTCCACCTGCTGGCTGGATAGAATTGGTGAAAGGGACACAAACAGAAATATCATTTTTATCTCTGTCTTTGCTGCTCTTGGAGAGTTCCCCTACTTTCCATTCAGGTAACACATTAGCAGGACAGGAGATAAGGGCAATTCTCTCTAATATAGCTCCTGGTAGCAGTGAAAATCTGTACTATGTTACATAGTACATGTGTTTGAAATTCATATTTAAAGTGTATGTCCAGTCAAAATTTTTTTATTTTTAATTTTTGGTAAGTTAATGGATAGTTAGAACCTTAATCAGATTTTCACTGCTACCAGGGGCTATATTAGAGAGAATTGCCCTTACCTCCTGTCCTGCTAATGTGTTACCTGAAAGGAAAGTAGGGAAACTCTCCAACAGCAGCACAGGCAGAGATAAAAATGGTATTTCTGTTTGTGTCCCTTTCACCAATTTACCTTCACATCCTCTTTGAGAAGTGAGGGTTAGACTACACTATATTGCCAAAGGTATCGGGATGCCTGCCTTTACACGCACAGGGACTTTAATGGCATCCCAGTCTTAGTCCGTAGGGTTCAATATTGAGTTGGCCCACCCTTCGCAGCTATAACAGCTTCAACTCTTCTGGGAAGGCTGTCCACAAGGTTTAGGAGTGTGTCTATGGGAATGTTTGACCATTCTTCTAGAAGCACATTTGTGAGGTCAGGCACTGATGTTGGACAAGAAGGTCTGGCTCGCAGTCTCTGGTTCTAATTCACCCCAAAGGTGTTCTATTGGGTTGAGGTCAGGACTCTGTGCAGGCCAGTCAAGTTCCTCCACCCCAAACTCGCTCATCCATGTCTTTATGGACCTTGCTTTGTGCACTGGTGCGCAGTCATGTTGGAACAGGAAGGGGCCATCCCTAAACTGTTCCCACAAAGTTGGGAGCATGAAATTTGTCCAAAATGTCTTGGTATGCGTACACCTTAAGAGTTCCTTTCACTGGAACTAAGGGGCCAAGCCCACCCCTGAGAAACAACCCCACACCATAATCCCTCCTCCACCAAACTTTACACTTGGCACAATGCAGTCAGGCAAGTACCGTTCTCCTGACAGCCACCAAATCCAGACACGTCCATAGGATTGCTAGTGTGATTCGTCACTCCAGAGAACACGTCTCCACTGTTCTAGAGTCTAGTGGTGGCGTGCTTTACACCACTACATCTGACGCTTTGCATTGCACTTGGTGTTGTAAGGCTTCGATGCAGCTGCTCAGCCATTAAATCCCATTCCGTGAAGCTCTCTATGCACTGTTGTGCTAATCTGAAGGCCACATAAAGTTTGGAGGTCTTTAGCTATTGACCCTGCAGACAGTTGGCGACTTCTACGCCTTGTGTGCTTCAGCATGCGCGGACCCTGCTCTGTCATTTTACAAGGCCTACCGCTTCATGGCTGAGTTGTTGTTGTTCCCAGTTTCTTCACATGTCACATGTCCCAGAATACTGTGAGGAAGATGGGGGGGGCAGAGAACTTTTACTTCAGATCACCTAGGCAGTTGGAGCAGAAGTGTGAGCGAGTAGGCTTTAGGTTTTTTTTACCTTCTGTGCTCAAGGTCTCAATACAACCCCCCCCCTTTTATACTTGCCTGAACTTGATCTCCTGCTCTCTGCTCTCTCTCTCTCTCCTCACAGCAGATTGATAGCAGTGGGAACCATTGGCTCCTGCTGCTGTCAATAAAATTCTGTGATGAAGGAATGGGGAGCTGGCCCCAGCTGCACTGTCTGTGTCTATAGATTGAGCCTGCATGAGTGTCCTCATATGAATCTGCGTCCTATGTTGGCACACACTGAAGAGGTGGAGCCTGTAGCGCCAGCGGGGGACCCCAGAAGAGGAGGATTGGGGCCATTTGCACAGAGCAGGTATGTATACCATGTTTGTAATTTTTAACAAAAAAAGTCAGAGGGTTTATAATCACTTTTACAAAGAGTGGTGCGAGCAAAGAGGTACAAGCAGAGAACATGCCAGGCAGCACAAATAATCTGAAAGCTGGAGCCGCATGCTCTGATGTCTCCTGCATGCTCCAGTCTATATTGAAAACTGATACATACCCCCTTTTAATTAGGGGCAGACCTGCACTAGTTTCTATTTCATTCTGGCATAGAAACTGGCACAGATAGATGAGAAACCGGTCTATTTGCTTAGTTATTGTGGAGCATGCCACTCTTGCCAGTCTCCTACAACATTATCATGCAGGCGCAGGAAGCTCAGCTAATGCCCCGGTATGTCAAAATGACAGTATTTGAATGTATATACAGTATGTATGTATGTACACCCTTGTTAAAGGTCAAACCGAATCAGTATGAGTTTATGAAAAAGGATGTTGAAGATTAATATCACTTTATGTTTCTTTTTAGTACTACGTATATACTGATATAATTACCTTTTTTTTAAAAAAAAGACTTGTATGCCATAACCCATCTCAAAAAGTTTTCATTATATTCCTTGTGTACATTGCATAAATCTGACCATACAATGGGTTGGGCTGGACTATTGCACACTATTGCTCTTTTTCTAAAAACTCTTTTTCTAAAACTCAGTAGCATGCAATACACACTGAGCACTGGAGCTGGAGATCTGTACAAGAGTGGCACAGTATTCATGAACATGTAAATATCTAAATATTAAGATCTCACCTGTTCCAGTCCAGTAGTGTTGTCCTTAATGTCATCTGGCAGCAATATTATCATGCTTAGTTCATTATCAACATAAGGAAGTTCAAGCACCTTTATCTCAAGCTCTTCAATGTGGAACATATTAAATCTGTTTCTCTGAAACATCATTGGTACTGTTTTAGTTGTTGTCTATAAAAAGAAAAGAGATATTTATAAAGATGGGACATCCATATGATTTCATGTATTCACACACAATGTATACAACACACATATCTGTATTATAATACTTCCAAACCTTGCTCAGCCTGAATGGTCTTTGTTCTGTGTTTTCTTCAGGAAATTTATGATTCCAGTTTCCTTTAAAATAGAGTGCGTTCACCAGGACTAACTTTGTTAGTGAGTCAACTGAGCTTTGAGGCAAAAGATCCTTTATTTTTCCTTATAGGTAAAGAAAAAAAAACAAAAAAAGCAATGCTGGACTTTACAATTTACTAAACAGATACCTTAAACACAGAAAAATCTATGCATTGTACTATGTAAGAATCCATGTATGGTTACTGGTTGTCCTACACAGAGGTGGACTAACAACTCATGGGGCCCCCGGGCCATAGGGGATCATGGGGCCCCTGTGTCATTGCCAAAACTCAAAACAGCCTATTAAAAAGGTTCCAGGGGCATCTCATGGGGCCCCCTACTGACCCCGTGCCTTCGGGCAGTGTCCGAGTTTCCAAATGGTCAGTCCGCCCATGGTCCTACACCATTAGCCTGAAATCATTCATTTCCATGAAAATCATGTAAATTCTGTATTGACAGTAACTTTCCCAGATAACCAATCCTATAGAAATGGTGTGTTTCAGCATTAGGACTGCTACCTACATAAGCAGTACAGTAAAAGTGTAAACATGTTGCTTTTTGTATGATCAAAGTGTATCTCTACTTAAAATCTTCTTTCTTTTTTTTTTTCTTCATTTTCAAGTCAGCGGTCAGGAGTGTAACTACACACCATATAGCCCCATTGAAAAATTTTCATAAGGACCACCCCCATGGACCTTTCCAGTGTCATTGATTAAAGTGAAGCTAAAGGATTATTATTTTTTAATTATTATTATTATTATACAGGATTTATATAGCGCCAACAGTTTGCTCAGCACTTTGATTCTTAAAAAATAAGACATACATATCCTCTACCTAATGGTCCTGTAAACCATTTTTCATTATTTTTTCTTACTGTGCTTTTGTGCCTTCGTGTAACATCCAGTGGGAGCTCCTGAACTTCTCTTTTTTCCTCCACACTTACATTTGTGTGGAACAAACATTGCATTTTAGGTGAGGTTGTGTGTGCTGCTCTATGCACACAAAAAATTCCGTAGTCCTTAGTCCATTTTGGGAACAAACAAAAGAGGGTGGAGTGGGACCATGGAGAAAGAATGTAGCCATCCTCTAAGTGGAAGTCGCATCACAGCAACAAAAAAACAGGAATTTGGAGGAGGCTGAGAGCAATTGGAGGCACCTTTTGAATTAAGAATACATACTTGAATAGAATGTATTTTTTAAACCAGATCTTAGTGTCATTTTGATATAAAAAAGTTTCCTTTATAAAGTTTCCTTTATACCAAGTTTCCTTTAAAATGAGTGAATGGAAGCAAGAGGAAATGCAGGGGGGGGGTGGTGGTGGGTAGGATGTGCACTAGGATGAAACATAGCTTCTATTAAGTTGTAAAAAGATATAATTTTATAAAGACTTAAACTTTATATTTAGGTATAATTTATTCAACTGCTTAGGCTTTAGATAGGGTAGTCAGGGGTGAAAAAGGTTACCTAAAGTTACCTGCACCAGGGGATCTGCTTAATTATGGCTGGCAGATACATTTCCTTAAACTGCAATAGTCCTAAACAACCATCAGCACCTGCCCTAATGCCTACATAATAGTTTTAAGTGAGGCTAAATTTTGTATCAACCGCAACAAAGCTTGTGGATAACAAAATCTAATTATAAACTGAGGCATTTAGCAAAAATAGCACCCAGAATAGTATTTTATTTTCTGTTTTCCCATACCCAATCACATTGCTATTAAACGCGTAGCACCCTCCTAGTGTTGGATGCTAGGTAAATTTAGTGTTTGGCTCCTTCTACAATCAAGGGAGTAGCCATAGTTTGTCCTAGTCTGTTAAAGTGGTTGTAAAGGCTCAAGGTATTTCACCTTCATGCATTTTATGCATGAAGGTAAAAAACTTGAGTACAGCAGCCCCCCAATACTTACCTCACCCTATCGCAATCTAGAGCCTCAGCTCTCTGGGGACTCTACCTCCTCATTGGCTCCTGCTGCTGTCAATTACAGCCAGCCAATGAGAACAGAGAGGGGACAGGGCCAAGCCGCAGCTCTGTATGAATGGACATGCAGAGCAGCAGTTTGGGAGCGAGCCTGCTTGGGTGCTCCCACAGCAAGCTGATTACTCTGGGGGCACTAAGCAGGAGGGAGGGGCCAGGAGCTCCACTGGGTGACCCAAAAAGAGAAAGATCAGGGCTGCTCTGTGCAAAACTATTGCACAGAGCAGGCAGATATGACATTTTTTTTTTTTTGCTTTTTTTTTTTTAACATCGCCTTTAATATCACTTTAAGGGTTTCACAGGCTGGAATTTTGGGATTCCTCTCTCCCCAGGAGCGTTGCAGAGTCTTACCCTAGGTTCCCACCTAAGTGTTTTCTGCAGAAACGCAGTACAGTCCATTTAACATGATTTCCTGTAGGACATGTTCACATCTGTGCGTTTTCACTCGGTGCGTTTTTTGGAAAGGGTCAGGGATGTTTTTGAATGCAAAAAGTTGGGTTTTTGGTTCTAAAGACTTCAATGGAAACGCTGCAGAAAAGCATGGATTGCATTTTTGCTGTGTTTTTGCTGCATTTTTTATGCATTTTGTGTTTTAAATCCATCTAGCAACAAGAAAAAATTTAAAAAAATGAAAAAAAAAATTCTGAAAATGCATCAAAAATATGGAAAAAATGCAGGTGCAAAGCGCAATGTAGTAACGGCTCAACCGCAACCTGCATAAGTGTGAACCTAGCCTTAGGGGCTGGTGCCCTCAGGCAGCCCATGGACTATGCAACTGTTCTAGAGGCCTCTGCTCTAGAGGTGTCAGGGTTGAGGGTCTGGATGGACCTTCCTAGAAGCTGATTGCAAGACCTCATCATAAGGGATCTGGTCTGGAGAAGGACTGTCTCATCCACTGGACTATGTCCAGGGAAAGCTGGAAGATGGCAGCTATCTTGGGGACTTGTGACTCTAAATTGATCCCTGTGACTGTTCAGTGTTCTGGAAATTACGTTGGCTACTAGTAGTTGTGCATAGGCACCAGATAACCAGATGCCAAAGAAACTTGCCTCATGGTCTTCAGCTGTTAGGCCTTAGACTGCTCAGACACTTGCCTCATGGTCTGTGATGTCTTAACCTGTTAAGAAAATTATCTCATGGTCTTCAGCTGTGGTGGTTTAGACTGTCCAACATTCAAATTTACTTATAGAGAAGGTTGTCCTCTAATTGCTATGTGTTTGTGTTATTCTTCATAGAGTATCCCATGCCCTCTCCTGCTTAAGTTTCTTCAAGCAATAAATCTTAAAAAGACATCCCCTAGACTGTGTTATTGGAACTAGTGTGAATGGACCGGTGCTTGCGGGGATGGGTAGCTTCTGTATTTTTAGGGAAAAAACAGTTGTTACCAGCAGCCCCTTCGGGGTAGCGCTACAAATGCATTGTAGATAATGTTATTTCTAAGACTGCAAATAAATGCTTTTGATGCTAACCTTTCCTTTACATTTTACTGCTCCACAACTAACAATACTGCAGAGGGCATCAGCTGTGAAGGTGATAATGGCCAGTGAGTGTCACTACACAATGTATCTGTGCTTGGTTAAGGTTGAGCTCTGGGCAAAGAATGGAATTCCAGGTGCAACTTGCCAAATATAAAACTGCTGGTCATTTCTGTTCAAACTGAAATGGCATATTGTAGAAAATCTGTTTTATCCCTCAAAGAATTGGTATTGCTGCCCATGCATTCCTGTAAATTGCATAGCCCTGCCACACAGCACAACACTGTATGACAGGGCAGGGGACTTGATTTTTTTTCTGCTGCAGTCAATTTCACTAATAGGTCTTGCTCCCTTCCCAGCCTGTGACTTGACTGTGAAAAGGGAAACAGCAGACAAGTGAGCTCAACTCTGTCACTCTGCTCTCTCCTCTTATCAGCATGCCCCTTGCACCGCAACACGCCTGATTAGCTGATTGTGCAGTTTTTCCCTTTGCTAGTCTGAGCTTTGCTGCACAGGGGCTGCAATAGGCTGATACTAGGTTAATTGCAGATATCTACACGACTTGCATTTAAAAAATACATTTAATGATGTATTAATGAGTTCAGAGGTGCAATAATTTGTGTCTTTTATATCTGCCTGAAGTTGAGTTTTAATTGACATCACACATCACATGAATAAGTAGAAGGGAAACATAGATCAGACGATGTGCCTATAAATATCACTTTCAGTACTGCTCTGAAAAACTGTAAATTTAACTTATTTGGAAACTGTTGCAGGCACCAAAAGTGGGTTTTTATGTATCTTTAAAATGTTTGCCATCAGTGGCCTAGAGCCTGTCAGAGACCGCGTGCCCAAACCTCAACCCAAAACCCACTTATTTATCGCAAAGTGCCAACACTGCAATTACACCCCGGTCACATCAAACCCGGCTTTGACATCGTGCGACTTACAGTGAGGTGTTTGCTATATACAGAACCGAAAATATCGGGTTGGAAGGTCTCCAAAATGGCCGCCGGTCAACTTCCGGTTCCGGTGTACGTCACTTCCCATCGACTTAATCATACTTGACCCCTTATGATTAGGTCGATGGGAAGTGACGTCAAGACGTACACCGGAACCGGAAGTTGACCGGCGGCCATTTTGGAGAAAGGAAACGATCGTATCTGGAGTACCTGGACGTTTTCCTGGAGGGCTGTGAGGTCTCTTTACTATGATTAAGCGATTTTTAAAAGGCTATTTGATGTAAGCAGTTTGAATAAAGGTCATTTTATCATGTGATTGGCGGTATTACACTATCATGTCCCTCATGTTTTGTCTCTGGATGGAGTGAAGCGCTTGGAGATATTGGGATCATTGTGATTAAGGAATCCAGGGAGGAGTGTGGAGATGACTTATTCCTGGGAAAGCTGTTGGATCATTATAGGCAAGCGTTATTTGGAGTGTTGGTAAGGGTATCCTTACTATAAGTAGAAGTGCACACCAGTTTGCAATTTGTTTGTGGCACTGAAGAGTGATTCACATACACAGTGTTTTTCACAGATTATTTCATGTTTTTTCACAATTTTTCACTATTTGTTTCACAATTATTCACTGCATAAATTGCATGGGTTGAATTGAATTTATGTTTATAAAAGATAATTGCACTATGTGATATTCTCTTTTTTTTGAGGTATATGCATCGGGGAGATCGCTGGAAGAATTTTGAACAGTTTGAACTATTTTTCACTGTGATGAATTGGGGTAGTTAGGGGTAATAGTTGATGGACTAATTGATGGACTTCACTGTTGTTGCTTAATTCTGTTTTGTCAACACTTTCAAATATATTATTTGTCACATCTTCAGGGGAGGGTGTTTGTGTTGTGGGGGAGTTTTAGTTGTATTCTTTGGAGGTGGTTTTTGATTGAAATAACTTCTTTTGGGTATAACAGAATTCTGGCACTAACTATCCCAAATGATAAAACTACCCTGTAGGATTCAGAAATACACACGCCCATCTGAAAGAGATTTATATACCGCTTACCTACTAATTTTTTCCTATAAAATATTATAGAATGAAGTCACTTACTCTCTGTCTGCTCCTCCACCCAAGTATTAATCTTCTTCCTGACATCTTCCGCATGATGAGCAAAATCCACAGATTGTATTTCAGCACGAAAATGTTTCTTAATTAGTTGAGAATATTGCTATGATAAAAGAAAAAAATATCAAATGTAGCTCTCTGATGACAGTAGAGCCACCGAGTCACTGTTCCGATAGCTCTTCTTTAGTTCTGTTGCTAAAGTCGAGCTTTATGAACAATCACTGTGTTGCTCTACTGCACATAAAGTAAGAGACATTGGAAAAGAAAACGAGTGACAATGAAGACTCAACTTCATGAAGTCTTTGGATTTTATTGCTGATTTGACCCAATTGGTAAGATAGCATCTTATTTCCTACTCTGGTGACTGGTGCCACAAAGGACAGAAATGAGCGCAAAGCAACACATGCATCTTCAAGGAGGGTTAGATCCCATGTCATTTTTTTGTTTTGCTGTGTTTGAGGAGATGCTGCTTCATTTCCTGTCCCAATCTCCTAGATTGTAAGCTCGAAAAAGCAGGGCCCTCGAACCCCTCGTGTTTTGCATTGTATTGTTACTCTACTGTCGCATATTCTGTTCCCCCTTTGTAATGTACAGCGCTGAGCGAACTGTTGGTGCTTTATAAATACTGTATAATAAAAATAATAATTACTGGTGGCACCAGGAGCAGGAAAAGAACTAAAATTTTCCTATGGGGACGCCAACAGTATAAACAACTGACAGCATGTAAAAAGCTTTCCTTTTCTATCCCAAACTATTAAAAAATTACTTTATTTCTTTCCCATTTATATAGCATACCATGTTACACAGTGCTATGCAGTGTACATAAAACCATTTCCAAATGGGCTCACAGTCTTGCTTTAATTTTGGTATGCTCTCAGATTAAAAGCCAGTTTCATTGATGATGTTACATGAATTGATGGTCCCAGCAGGCTACTTACACAAGAATACAGTCTTATACATACATCTTCCCCTTTTATTAATTCAGTTGAAGCCCTTGGCAGTGTTTCGAGATTTAGAAGAATATGCCCTATGCGTGGATATTAGTTTAGGATTTGCATGTGAAGTTGTAGTCTTAAAATTCCTTACCTGAACAATATGGAAGCTCTTTTCGCTGTATAGCCTGTTTGCAGATTTCAAAATATATTTTTTGCTTGATTTATTGACTTTTGAAAAAAGCTCTTCAAAAGCTACGGGGATATTTTGTATGTGTACAGCACCTGGATTCTGTGGACAGAGTTGTTAGTTTCATATATTACATATTTTGCTTTAGTTTGCTTTCATCCACTTGTTAGGTGAACAACACATTGTACCAATCATTAAAGAACTATACACAGATTAAATAATATATTCATTAAATACTCTTTCATAATAACTTTTCTGAAGTTATTATTGGCTATCAAGATGAAACTACAATAATACAGATATTGCATAACCTTTATTGTATGTTGGTAATAAATCTGAAAATAAAGTGTGTTTAAAAAAAAAATCCTCAACCATGTGCCTGTAAGTGTGACCGGCTCAGTGGCTGTAGTTTGAATGCACTGACTTTTTCGTTTTCAGTGTAGCTACTATGCACTTTCACCCCCGTAGCACTAGAAGTTCAGTTACAGGGAGAGAATGGGGCATCCATTCTCTAATTCCAAATTTCAGTGAAGATTTTTACAGGATCCATCTGCCTGTACGACTTGGGACATTCTTCATTACAAGTAAGAAAGCTCACTAAAGCTTTAGAGAATGTTTGGGGTTTTTTTGTGGCTAAATTTCAGCTTTTATATAACTTTTACCATCAAAGGTTTCTACCATTATGTCACTTTCACGGAGCTCTTGGGAGAAGCTTGACAAGTTTGAGCAGATCTTGTATGCCAATATTACTTGGAAAATACTCACTCTATGTGGCTGTCCCAGCCTTGCCAATACATTGTTCTACCATTTAAGTGCTCTATCCTCCTCTCACATTTAAGGAAATAATTGGGACCTTTATGATCTCCCTGATGACTCCCCGTAACCCCCATATGGTCATGGTGTGAATACCAGCAGACATAGTGAGAGAGATGGGCAATTTTCTATTGATTTTATTGGCTACTGCCTTCATACTGCTGGAGACGGTTATTGTCATATACAGGGCTTTTTTTTCTCAGGGAGCAGGTACTTCCCCCCTCCAAGTCACCCTTGTCTCTGCCCCCTACCCACCTCTGAGCGCTGTCCCTTGATCCCTTTAAGAGCATATACTGTAGAACCGAGTATCATTTTGTAGTGCTAAGTAATTTGTTAGGAATTTGTTAATGATAACAAGAAAAGCAGCAAAACATTTCCTGCAGCCAGCAACAGGCCCTCCTGCAACAAAATACCCCTCCACCAACTACAGACCCCTGCCAGCAACATCACATTTCCCAGCAACCAGATACAACAAGTCCTTCAACTGCCAGCAACAATAGACCTCAACAGTAGATCCCTTCCAGCAACAATTGAGCCTCCCCCCCAGGCAACAATAGATTTCCACCAGCAACAATAGACCTCCCTGCAGCAAACAACAATGGACCCCCCAGCACACCCAAGCACAACTTGCCATTACATACTGCGTTTCTGCTGATAGAAAGGCCTGGTCTCACCAGATCGGATGCACTGTGAAATTAACTCATCCTCCATCTTAAGATGAGCACACATATCTATCATTAGTAAGAATACTTATGCTTAGTTCCTGCTTCCCCATATTGTTCCCTGCTTTTCCTGTCTCCCTGCATGTGTGTGTGTTTTTTTAAATATCTCCTCTTTCTTCTATTTCTCTTGGGTCGCCTCTCTAGTTCTCCATAATCCAAGGATCTACGTTTGCTACCCTGTTCCTCTTCAAACCCAAATTTCACATTATCCAGTAGTTTAGGCCCCACCTCCAAGCATACCCGCTGTGAGAGGTTATATTCTCTGAAGAATATATTTGAAAAATATATATTTTTAAAAATATATTCTTCAGATTTTTTGTAACATATAAAAAAGTAGTTTTAACATATATTTTTACATTAATTTGTAAATGCATTCCAAAAATGTAGATTTGTATGTTTAAGACATACAGTATATTTGAAATGTATTTTTAAAAATATTTTTCATAATATTTTTGTAATAAAAACGCATTTCAACATGCAGTGTGTATATATATATATATACACACTGCATGTTCAAATGCGTATACATATATACATATATATATATATATATATATATATATATATATATATATAGCCAGAATTATAGCATTTCAAATCTATAGCAATATATTTGGGAAGAATATTTTTAAAATATATTTCAAATATATTTTTTTTCCATGTGGGCACAAGTCACATAATATCGACACTGTAACATGTAAAGTAATTCTGTCTATTATGTAAAGGAAGAGCTTTCTTCAAAGGGAGAATTTCCTTCCTTATTATGTTTGTATTATTTCTATTTATTCTTTGTCCAATTTGTATATAATTTTTACTTACATTTGAAATAAAGAATTAATTAAAAAAAAGTTTATTTTCATGTCACCAAAACATTTGATGATCTTCAGGTCTCCCTCCATTGATATCACATTTACTATTCCCATTACATGATGCTATATTTGTGATATGTGATTGATTTTTTGCAGTGCCAATATCTACAATATGGTGATAGGAGACATGAGTAAGGAGATATACAAGTTCTTTGATTACATATACAGTAGAGCCTCTTTTTTTGAAATCTCAAAAAAAAATTAACACAATATTCTTTTTTTTCTGTAAATGAAATGTAATAATTTCTAACTGATATTTGTATAGTCCTGTGTATAGTCTCATTGTACTCTGCAACCTTAGCATTTATCTGTCACCATACATTCACCGGCCACTTTATTAAGTACACCTTTGCCTGTGCCAAGAAAATATCCCCCACACCAGGGGCGGACTGACCATTTGGAAACTCGGGCACTGCCTGAGGGCCCGGGGTCAGTAGGGGGCCCCATGAGATGCCCCTGGTACCTTTTTCATAGGCTTTTTTGAGTTTGGGCAAGGACACAGGGGCCCCATGATCCCCTATTGCCCGGGGGCCCCATGAGTTGTCAGTCCGCCCCTGCCCCACACCATTACACCACCACAACCAGCCTGAACTGTTGATACAAGACAGGATGGATCCATGCTTTCATGTTGTTTATGCCATATTCTGACCTTACCATTCGAATGTCACAGCTGAATTAGAATGCCCATTCTCCTCTGACCACTGACATCAACAAGGCATTTTCGTCCACACAACTGCTACTCACTGGATATTTTCTCTTTTTCTGACCATTTTCTTAAAACCCTAGAGATGGTTGTGCTTGAAAATCCCAGGCCAGCCCATCTTGCAGCAACAACCATGCCACGTTCAAAGTTACTTAAATCCCTTTTCTTCCCCATTCTGATGCCCGGTTTGAACTTCAGGAAGTTGTCTTCACCACGTCTAGATGCCTAAATGCATTGAGTTTCTGCCATGTGATTGGCTGATTAGCAATTTGTTACCATGCAATTGAACAGGTGTACCTAATAAAGTGGCCAGTGTATACTGTATGAAAAAGTTATCTTGTTTTTAAAAAGTTTGTGTTTTTAAATATTTTTAGTTTGCCACTACAGGGTATCACTTCAGCAATACATTTCATGTCGTCAAATTGGGTATATACTTCTGGCTAGCACAGTACATCCATTTTTTTTAGTGCTTCTATTTAAGCAAGTATGACTTGGCTACCTGCTACTGCTGTACACCACAACAATGCTGCGAGGTGAGCAATTATGTCACGGATACACCTAGCTGTCTAATACCACAACAGAAATGTACATGAGGATTCGGGTACTTTACCTGTAGCTTTGTCTGTGATAGTGAACATGTTTTTTTCTCTGTAGATTTCTTGAAGTTTAAAACCTATATAGACAAATACATTAGATCAGTTTGATGCAGAAAAGTAAGAATAATGTAAAATACGTAAAAAAAAAAACTATAAAATTGGTGCAGCGCTACTAATAAAATACATATGAAGCAAATAAACCAACAGAAGTGAATCAACCCCCTTAGTGACAGCATAAATCAATCACTGGTGTCAAGGTGCAATTGACACACACTTAGTAAGTGACTAAGGGGTGATAAAAAGTCCAATATGAGCACACAGGTGAGGAACTCTTCACACGTGGATGTGTCATACGTGCCACAGGAATCCCAAAACAATCTGAGTGCCCCCTCACCTCCTTGCAATGACCTCAAGGGCCAACCAGCTTTCAAAAGATAGTCAGGCAATCCCCTGTTGATCCCTTCAGTATGACCGGAATGATGGTAACTTTAGCCAGACCTCTTCCACCGCTCTACCGACACCACTATCTTCCACTCAGAGACATAAACCAAACAGGCTCCATAGTGCAATATATCCAATTTAATTAAATAAAAACACAAATACCCACTTACATGTAGGCAAACGATCATACACAGTAATCAGCTGTCCTCCTGACATGCGGCTTCATGGAGTCCCAATATGGCGCGGACGCCAGAAGTGACGTCACCGCGTCCCGGAATAGACAATGAACGTACCAACGCGTTACGTCACAAATAACACGTGACTTCATCAGGGTGAACGCCCATAGTAGTCCCACTCATCGCTTATATTGGCTGCCTGGGTGTCAATCAGCTTAAGAGACAACCCCCGGCGGCCATATTCTTGAAGTCTCGACCCATGCAGACACTCCCATTTAGTCCCAATGGGACTGATCACAACCATTAATATATTATATATAGAAGACAAATATCGGTGGTTTTATTAACAATTAAAACCCACCCAACATCCACAACCCCTAAATGGAATAAATCGGGGCATGATAGACCAGTAAATATATGATTTCAAATGAATTAAAATATGTAATAAATTAAAATAAAATAAAAATACATATATCCATATATACATAAAATATATATAAAATATATGTATACGCCTGTAATTCAACTCCATGTAAACACTCCATGTCTTGAGTATACATTCAAAAACCTACCAAAAATACATATATCATATTATATCATAATAGCCAGATAGATCAAATACAGTTATATATAAAAGATAAAAATGTTAAAATCATTTTCAAAAATCACTTATAAAACAATTCAGGTCGAATTCAATGTTCAGACCTTTGGGAGCTTGTGTATGCATTGTGTATATCCACCGCGACTCGGCCTTACTAAGAGACCGCACCTTATGACTCCCCCTC